ACATAACATAAAGATACATGAACACTACAAATCAGGTTTTTAAACAGCCAAGTTTATTCAAGTCTAACACACATTCAACTGGCGGATGCCAGATCCAAGAGCAAGAAGTATATATACATCATGAAAGATTTACGCCCTCTTTGGAGATTAAAATATAGTTTTCCACATAAAATTTCTTACACACTGGGCCCGGCTGAACTGTAGTTCAGAACAATCAAGATTATCAGTGTTACATGAACATTTCAAGAATCATTATGCATTTCAATACAAATTCAAGTTTTGTAATAAAAGAAATGTCACATAAATATCAAGAACATGTAAAACTTACCATATGTTTCAAGAATATCAAGTAAATTTTCAAGTAAATTTCATCAAGAATTATTGTCAGGATTTAAATCAAGAATTTATATAACTCAAGATAATAATAAACAAATGATTTAAAAATCAAGATTATCATAATTTAACTAAAATACTAGAATTATTACAAGAAACCTGTCTTTTTTTCAGAATTAAATTAAAATTTTTAAATACACTTATACATTTCTACAACCTTAAAAATTTCTCTAATATATACATTTCTTTAAACATTAAATCTACAGTACTTTAAATAGCAATTAAATAAAATAGATACAACATTAGTAGCATTACGATTGCATTTTCAGGAAGAAATATACTATCATACAATATTAATACTCTTAGCACTCTAAATTTAGATAGAGGTAATGGTGCTATGACTTGTCGCATTGGTCAGGAGTTATAACGCTGACACAGTACACAGTTTCTTATAACACGTTTCACATTTTGTCTGGATATAATTATCCAATACTTTTCACGGAGGAACATGAGAGTACTAGCTACACCTGTATGAACTCTTTCATGTGCATCCCGTACTAGAAGATCTGTAAAATGAGTTTTTGAAGGAATAATTATAGGATGCTTTTCATGAAAACTTAAAGTTGATTTTTGTAGTCTTCCTCCTACTAACAAAACTCTTTCCTCACTTTGAAAAGGATTTAGTTCATAAATGTTTGAGCTTTTTGAAATCAACTGTCCCGACTTTAAACTATTAATTTCATCAGAAAAATGTTTATATTGAACTTCTTTTATCAAATATAATTCTGCGGCAAAAAGTTCTTCTATCAAGGGTCCGGTTTTCTTGTCAGTTTTATTTTTCAGATTGTGAATAAACATAAATATCCATGCAGTTACTCTAATAGCTCTAATTAATTTGCTATAATTTTCAACATTCAACAGAGAATTAGATTTTTCTGCAATATATGGTAGTATTGTCTGAACTGCAATATCAAGTCCAAAACAGAAGGATTCAAATTTGGGCCAGGCATCAAACTATTGTTCAGAGATACCCCATTACACTTCGAAGATGCGTCAAACACGATAAGGACTTTAGTTTTTGATACATTTTTTCTTACAACTGGAAAATGTGGCATGTAATACATTTTACTACTATCACAACTTTCAATGTCGCACTCTTCAATTATTTCATTTTTTAACTGTTCGTTTATTATGCTATCATAATTCGCCCTAAGCCATTCATCACTTTTTAGTTTATTAACCAAAGATACTAGACGTCGCTTGGAATTTTCTAAATTATTACCCAAGTTTGCATGATGTGATTTCCATAACAAACGAGCTACATATCTACGATTAGTAAAATGCAATTATTTTTCAAATTTCTCAATGACTGATTTATCGTCAGGATTCTCGTTCTCCTCTAAACCCAAATGGTCTAGACTCCAAAACCTTCGCAAACAGTCATTAACTGAAGTATTATCTTCCTTCAAGCAATTAGAAGCACCAGTTGTAAAAATACAGGCACTAGACTGATCACTTTCTAAAGATCCAACTAAGGACCAACCAAATATAGAAGACACCGCAAATAATTTATTAGTTACTCTTTTCTTTTCGCCTGTTTGCACTTCCCAACATGAATCAGATCCTAACAATATTTTTATTTCAGCTGCTTCACCACTATCGGCTAATTTTAGATTTTCGGATTTTAATATGTTCTAAAATATTTTTTAGGAGGGAATTTTTATGATCGCTCCAGAAATAGTGTTCTGTAACAAGAGCTTCAATAGTGATTGAGTCATTAGGGAAATGCATATACTTTTCAGGGTAGTTTTGAACAAAAATTACATTCTATTAGTCTACCTTGGCTATACCCAAATGAATAAATATATAACCTTTCTTTCCTTAAAATCCTTAATTCTTAGTTCTTTAGCCAAATCAGATTTAATAAATGACCTCTGTGATCCACCATCAATTGGGAATTTTTTTACTGTTTGGCTTCTAGTATTATCTGTATCTGAAAGCGTGTAAACAGTGCAAGGTTTGTAAATATATACCTTTATCTCAACAGTTTCAGAAACAGTCTCAGAGTTAAACGACAGGGATGCAACTACATTCTGCTTAGAATCTGATACTGTAACTACTTTCTGTTTAACATCTGAAACTGCTTCCACTTTAGGAAGAATATTTTTACAAAATAGCTCATTATGATTTAAACCATTACACAACTCACAAGGTTGAAATTTCATTTTACATCTGGAAGCTACATGGCCTCTCTGAAAACATTTGTAACAACGTCCATGGTATTTTAGTATCGCTCTTTTTTGCTCATTTGTTTTCTCACATTTTCCTACATCATGTGTATTTTGATTACAATAGAAACAATACGGCTTAGTCACTGTAGCTAACGCCGAAGCAGTAGGAACGCTTGTCCATTTTAAGTAATTATTTTTTTTTTCTGCTTAACACCGCAATTTGTGTCTCTTGAGTTTATTATTAAATTAGAAGCTTCCCGATTCTCAACTTCCAATCTAATGAATTCGAGAAGTTCTGTTAGGCTATATTGCTGTTTAGAGTTTCTTTTTTATTAAACTCCAGATTCATATCGTCTGGTAAAAGTTTTAAATTAACGGGTCCTAAAAGGGTTCCGTAAGCTTCCGACACAATACCAAATGAATTTAAGCTTCTTATATTGATTTCACAGGAATCGTATAGTGTTCTTAGTGCTTTCACATTGGACGAACTTCTAACCGGTTCAGGATTCAAGAGTTTATTCATGTGCGAAGATATTAACCAAATCTGTTCGTCCAAATCTTTCTTTAATTAAACTTTATAGAAGCTTCATAATTTTCATTATATAGTGCAAGCCCGGATACTGCACTTAAAGCAGGTCCTGGCGAGTAAGGATTTAAGATAGGTAAACTTCTCAACCTTTGTAAACTCATTATTATTACCAATAGCATTTTCAAAGGAATTATAAAATTCCAAAAATAAACTAGGATCACCATAATATTTAGGAATTGAAATTTTAGGTAATCTAATGTTAGTTTTGTTTTCGACCTTTACGGCAGCAGTATGGTTACCAGGCGATTCACTTTCAATGCTCACTATCTGAGAATTTAAATTAAGTTTCTTTTTAGCCCTAAAAATACATAAACTTATTTTTTCATCATACTCTAACACAGTATTACATTCTTTCTCAATTTCAGACTCATCCCTTTTAAAACAATCCAATATTTTTGCATTAATTTCTTTCAACGCAGATTGTTTAGAAGTAAGTAAAAGCACATTTTCTTCTACCATATTCTTATCCCAAATGTCTTTTTTAATTTCAGGTTCTACGACATTTATTATTTTAGAAATAGCTTGTCTCAGGACTTTTCTATCAGATTTCAATTTAATAATATCGTCTGCCATAATAACAACAAAAGTAATTTTATTCTCTTACCTGGTTCAGGCTTCAAATGGTATAATCCAAATTTGGTAACGCACTTTCCTGGTGAAACACATTCACACGTATTCTGAACGTTAATCCCGCCACGCTCAGTGCAAAGGAATAAAATTCACTAACACGAAAACACCGCATTCTAAATAAAAAATTGGTCGTGTGCACTGTTGGGCGCCAAAAGTATAAAATATTATATTAACTGTCAAGAATTTCAAGATATCCTGGTTAAAAAAAAAACACTAATTCGAATCATACATAACATAAAGATACATGAACACTACAAATCAGGTTTTTAAACAGCCAAGTTTATTCAAGTCTAACACACATTCAACTAGCGTATGCCAGATCCAAGAACAAGAAGTATATATACATCATGAAAGATTTACGCCCTCTTTGGCGATTAAAATATATTTCCACATAAAATTTCTTATATTTAATAATGGGTAATAGAGTCTTTTGTCCATCCGACGATAGAAGTCCGCTCTTTTGCGCAGCTCTCTCCTGTTTCCATGTATTTGTAAGGCTTTGCCACTTCTCTTAGGTGTTGTTCTGTGACTACAAGAAAAGAAATTCTGACTCCAGTTCGGTTTTTAAGAGTGAGCTTATTGCCGTCGAAGAGGGACTAAACGCTGTTTCGTCCTTTACAGACCTTAAGGCAGTGTGGTTTTACATTACCAGTTACCAATTCATTGACATATCTTAAACTGCATGCAGAATGCATGCAGACAGGAAAATTTAGCTCGTTTCCTCAAATCATCCCTGGTATCAAGCTGATTGTCCTGGAAGATCTCTTGCTATTGATTGCGATAGATGTGTTCAGACAACACTTTCCCGATTCTTCAGTGGACACCTGAAAAAACTTACTTTTGAGAGAGGTCTGAAGATGCATCATCGGCACATATCCTTGAGTGCCTGGAGTTGTCTCTTGAGGACCTTTACAAGTCTCCTAAGCTTGTTTTCGATTTTATGAAAGTGAATGGACTCGTGGACCTCGTCTAGTATATTCCTATACATGGAGATTAGTAACAACAACAAGACAATGCGCATGAGGAAGTTTCTCAGAGAAAGGAAATTCTCCTTTTTCTAAAATTGAAGGTTTCCTAGCCGAAACAGTTTCTCTGGAACCAATGTCCCAACTAGCTCCTCAGGACATGCATATTCTGTCTCTTATAAATATAAGCAGTAAATAAATGGATATATTTAGCCATACATATATTTACTAAGTCTCCACTCAAGAACTTACTTTGCATTTACGGTAAATTAACTTACTGCGGAACTGGTAGACGGTAAGGAACTTTTCCTACCTTCAAAGTGGGCTGTAAGTATAAAAAGGTTGACTACCCCTGGTATAACGCATAGAGCATGGTAAACATATCTGGTTTTGGGCCGTGTCTAAACCAGACACAGAATCCTGTTCTTAACTTGTATCTCAGAACAGTTTCGGACTCTGTTGTAATGAATAATATTTCTGAAAATACCAGACATTCATATTAAAGCAGTTGCAGTCAATTGTAACTAATTTTGAATATAGAAATTGTACAGTATTCAGTGGATTAGAACATTTTCGAAAGTTTGTAGGATATAAAAAAAGTCACACTTTTTTTTCAGTATTATAAATAAAGCTGTAATTCATTCTTGAAATTACAAATATAAGAAGCATTCAGGTTTCCACAGGAAAATTTCTCAAAATTAAAATGCATTATTTTAATAATTATTAGAGTTCTGACACAGTATTTTAGATAATCTTAAAAAACTTTACTACATTAAAAGGTAAGAACACATAAGCAACATAGAAATAGTAATGGAAAAACGTAATTTGATACTAAAGAGTAATTTTAATATTATCTTCTAACATTTTAAATCACAAGAATTTAAAGTTTTATGTATATAAATCATAATTAAAAGCAAATTCAAAAATCATAGTCAATTCCATACAAGGAGGAACAAAACGAGAATCGTACAAAGCAGTGTAAATAACAAATGCATATATTAAGTCTTTTTTTTTTCCTTCAAAATTAAATAATTCTGTAGTAAAATTAAGAAATAATAAAATATTGTTTACACTGTTTGTACAAATTCCATTTTGGTTCTGCTTTGTTGGATCTGAATTTAATTTTTGAATTTGCTTTCAAATTTGATTTAATTTTAAATTATTTCCACTAAATTACAGCAGCTTTCAGCGAGTGATTTTATTTCTGGTTCATTACAAATAATATAAATGTATATATATATAAAATTGAAAAGCTAGTAAGTAAAAAACTTTCTATATACCACCTCCAAGGAGCACAAATTCAATTTAAAACCAAGAATGAAAACAGTTTTAGTCAGAATTTAAATTAGTATTTAAAAAAAATAATTTCAATCTCCTGTTTAAAGATTTGAATATATATATATATATATATATATATAGGATTGGATTAGATTTTGAGCTGTTTTTTAATTTGTATTTATTCATATATATGTATTTATAAACTAAAAATAGGTAAAGCAAACTTATAATTTTAACTGGAAATAAAGCTTTATATTCCTCATCTTTAATTTGAGTATTTCCCTTTTTTATACTTAAAATGACAACTGCTTTTAACTTATAACTGCTTATGATCTAAATTGCATCATTTCAAAGTAAACCGTTTCATATGGTCTCAAGTAACGCTGCTAAGGCAAGGTACGTGCAGGTAAGAGGTATGAGCCTATTAAGTAGTCGTTAACAATACCCGCCCATACATTCACGGAGAAGCGGGTTTTGAATGCATGTGGACGTGTGCCGTGGTGGATTATGAGTTGCCCACACATGCATGTTGTGGTCATTGAAGATGCCGTCTTGTGAGAAAGTTGACTCGTCCGTATAGCTCATCCAATGGGAAATCCGCCTGCGCTTCACACTGCTGCAAGAACCAATGACAGAAATAAATGAACTCGAAGAGGGTAATCTGTCTTTTGAAAGGCTTGGACTCTCTGCAAATGGTATGGGTGCAAACCATTTTCACGCAATACTCTACAAACGGTGAAATGTCTCAGCTGCAGACGACTGCAATAACTCTTGTACTTGTCTGAGATGATTCATGCACAATGTTCAAGATGGATTCTTCAATGCGAGGTCGTCGGGCACTTCTTTTTCCACTCCTAATGTCAGAGGTGGCTTCAAATAACCCGTTTTCACATTGTGCGCTTCGGCATACGCCTGTTCGGAGACCGTTCCTGGTACAACCGTAGCGCTTCCCTGCCTTTCCCATTAGCAGCACCATACATGATATGCATGCCAGCATTTTCCTTGTACATAAACTCACCCATCACGCTCGACATCAGAGTAGCGAATGATCTTCTGATGCATCGGATCGTGGTTATCCGGCTGACTACCGCCAATCAGATATAATAACATGATTTCAATTGAATATAATAACATGATTTCAATTGAATATAATAATAAGATTTCAATCGATAATAAGATCTCAGTCGAAATCAAAATAATTTTGAGAAGTATAACCCTCTGACATTCTCCCAGCCTTTCTACTGAATGCGTGTACTTTTCTGCTTGCTTGCTTCCAGCTTATACATAGAGGATCACTTCTCCCTATCATTGAATGTATTTAATTAAGATGCTGTAAACTTCCTAAGCTAAAATGAAGGTAGCTCCGATAATGGTGTGTGAAAAAAAACATACTTTATCCAGAAATAAAGTATGTTGAACAATCACAAAAGCTGTGTCTGACTGCAGCTACTCAATTAAGCATTATATATGACAACACTGTCTACAACCATCAGTCATCAATTAAATTATTTGTGTCTTCTTTCTCATCCTAAACTATTACATATAGTATATTGTTGCGTTGCGCAGGTTTGTAGATTTGGAGTAATTGATGATAACACTTGATTAAGAATCAGAACACAATTTATTCGGCAGTATTACACAGGAGAGACCCAAATACACGTTTACAATCGAAAAACTACGACAGACATGCTGAAACAATCAGCATTCAGGCTATAATGGTGAAGATAGCTTCGCGGCAAAGCACTAAATATAGCTCCCGACTCGGTCTATCGCTCTCAAGGTAATCTCTGAACTCGAGTCACTACTACTCTACCGAATGCAAGATATTACTACAAAGCACTATCTGAGTGCCGGCAGGATAAATATAGCTTTAACCTAACTTCGCGAATATTCTCGAGGAAACCTCTAATAATGAATTCTAGAATGTTCTTGCTCCGCCTATTGCATATCGCCGATTTTGTTCCAAATGGGCGATTTCGAGCCAAATCTTCCAACCCTGCTTTCCCTGCTTTTCCCTACCGTTTTCTGGCAACCCTAAGCCCACATCGCTGGGAGGCTATCTTACCATTTTTAGCATTTTAGCATTTTGCAACAATATTTAGTAAACCTAATATTTCTAGTAAAGAAACATATATAAATATTTCTAATATACAAGTACGCAATTTTTTCTATATAGAATACAAAAATAACACACTTGCACTTATTTCGGAACGTATTTTGTCAATCACAAAAATTTCTAATTTAAATGCAATTCTAGTTATTTTGTTAACTTAAAATAAAACCTTACTAAATCCTATTCTGATAAGCAATTAATAAATAAAACTCAGATCATTTTTATAAATATTATATAGTTACAATTATATCTTGTATTTGATAAAGCAGTGAGATTTACAAAATTTAAAAATTTCTACTTTTTGATGCATCACAGATTACTTGACTGACTGTTAGGTAAACACAATACAGTGATTCAGTCTTAAAAATACGAAGGCATATTATTAAATCCGATAAAATAAGAAAGAAGTTAGTAAATTGCTATTTAATGTCACCTAGCGGCAATAACGACATGAATGTAAATATACGATATAACTATAAAGATCAGAAATCATGCATTTAAATATTTGAAACAAGATGGAAATGCAACCCTTTCAGAAAATTTTCTTTTTTAAACCTTCATTCAAAAAAAGAATGCGAAATAAACGGCAAAAATGTAGAATTTGAGATTTTTGACAGACATTCGGCTTTTGCTCTTTCTAAAAGCAAACTGGCCATTGTCGACTTGACCAGAAATATACATGTGTGAGTGTGTGAGGATACATATAGTTATAATACACATATACGCATATTTACGAGAATGTCCTTTTCGTTGTATGTTTTTCATGAAGTAAGAAAGCTCTTGACATTTCATCCATGAAATGTCACTCAAAAACATACAAAACTAAAGTTAGAAATACAGCTTTTATTTTTATAGGAATGGATAATATCATATTTCAGGAACATAGTACAAAGCAAGAAATTAACCCTGTACGTCATAAACTAGTAAAACCTTTAGTGCTGAACGTATCATACTTTATACTGATATCAAATATTGTTTTAATTATAAATTCGTGATTACTCTATTAACACGAATCAGAAAGCATGAATGAGATTATAAGATGAATGGGTAGATTGTCAAGCTCAGTATTTGTAGGAACTCGTTCGATTATCTTAGAAAACGTGTCATTGCAATGTAAAATACTGGTAGATATGGAACCAAAATAATTTTGTTGTTGTGTCTATTTTTAGCGGTACTTGAGGTCACAAATCTTTTGATCTCAGGGCTGTTCTTGAATTCTAAGTGTTTCATTTTCATCGTAATCCCTATTTCGACAATACAGAAAAGATTTCAGATAAAAGATTAACTTTAGTTTCAAAAAGGAGGAATGAAAATGATATTTTTATACAGTCTTCTCAAATTCAATCAGTATATAATATTACTGCTTTGCTTTAAAATTAAAATATAAGTTCTTCAAGAATTTAAAAAAAATCCGTTTTTAATTTTAAATATCTGAAAAATTTTAAACAATCGGCAATATGAATTAATATTCAAATTAAATTATTATATCCATCCTGCGATTCAATATTTAGTATTCAAATTCAGTGCTTGAAATACTTAGATTAAACTTTTCCATCGATTTCAAAACAATAAATAGTTTAATAATACGTTTAGTGTTATTTAAGGTGTATAAAATTACTGAAATGCATGCAAGGGTGTTGATAATTAAGTAGCCTTGAATGATGGAATCTAAAGTGAAGAAAATTTTAAAAAAATAAAGATATATTAATCTTACGCCCAAAGACTTGTTTTTTTAATGTTTTGTGTGTTACCTTTGTTTATTAACTCTCGTGTTCTTTGAATTTAAACCATAAGCTTCAGTTCAACAGCAATATCGCAAAATAATTTTAAAATGATCATCAGATAAATATATGAATAGATAGATTTTCCGATACACAGTATAGCGCACTGGAAATAAAAATGCTCTTTTCTTCGGACGGTGTTGTCATTGCTCGCTTTGAAATCGTGGAGTTTCTTAATCAAAAATTAAATAAAGGTTTACATAATATATATGATATGAAATAGATAATAAAACAAATTCGAAATTTGTGCTTCTAGATGCACAAATTCGGTGGAGGATTACGTTATTCCAAATTGGATAGTTCTA